GGGAAGGTCTCTGGAGAGACCAGGGGAGGGCCACACCTCACCACTCAGCGGGGAACAGAAGGGAGCGGGGGCAGACACCACCCTGGGCTCTCCCAGGGCTCGGGCCTCTTTCTAAGCAGAAAACACTGACCTCCCACAGAGGCCTCCGTCCCGGAGGCAGCAAGGGGGGCTGCCTCCACACTCAGCTCAGGGCTCTGTTCTTCGCTCTTCCCTCCTTCGGTGGTTTCCATCGAGCTTGCCTGGGACTCCTCTGCAGGGCCTTTTAAAACACGGAAGGCGCCCACCCTCATACACCCCAAGCTTCTGATCCGGTGAGTCTGGGAGACCTGGTTATGCGACAGGTCCCGGCACCTCACTTTGGGACCCACGGCCCACGTTCATTCCGCACTAGACAAGGTGGGTGCGCCAGCCTGTCTCCGAGCAGGGCCTGGGCACAGGGAGACCATCTCTCCAGGTGCAGGGAGATGTGTGCGGTCGGAGTGAGGCGGCCTGCTTTTCGAATCCCAGTTCAGCCGCTCGCCACTTGGGCTTTGCTGCCAGTGGTTTTTGTTTTTAAGTTTTAAAAGCCTTTTCCCTAAACTCCTCTCCTTAACAAAGCAGCTGCATGTCTGGCCCGGCCCATTGCCGTGCATCGCCGGCAGGGGCAGCCGGAGGTCTGTCCGGCATGAGCGGCCAGAGGTCGAGGAACGCTGTCCATACAGAGCCCCTTAGGGACTCGTTTAGGCTTCCGGGCCATATGGTCTCTGTCGCAGCTGCTTGGGTTTTTGTCTCAATATTTGTACCCGTACCCCCAGGTTTGGCCCCGGGGGCTGGAGCTGGCCAAGCCCCAGACAGGCCAGAATGTGCGCCATGCTCTCGCCATTTGCCACTCCTGGGGGCCTTGTCTGGCCGCAGGACCCCAGCCCTTCGCTGAGGGGCACAGGGAAGTACACACTTCTCCGGGCGTTATGGTGTAATGTGTGCACCCGAGAAGGGATAGTAAGCTCACTCATCCCCTCAGGCCCTGGAAAGTAGCAGAGCACCCTCTTTCTAGTGCTCAGAGCCAAGACAGGAAGCTTTGGTAGCATTGTCCACAAGGATCACTTTACCATGGAAAACGATTCCCCTTCACGACACATGTATGCTCCACGTCTGACAAGACAGGAAAGAGACAAGACGGACTCAGGTCCACCTCAGTTTCAGTGTAAAGAGAGTTCATCATGGGGAAGGGAGACAGTGGGAAATGTCCTGAACTATCGGGAAACGGTGGGCGGAAGGCAGATTGTCTGAAAGCCTGTGGGGGAAGCGCCTTATTCTGATTCATACTGAAATGCCCATTCAGTAGCTTGTGATGCTGCATAAAGGGAGGCCAGTACCGTCCTGAGGTTTCTTACAATTCATTTGACCCTGAACTTGAAAAATGCTGAATTGAAAGCATTTATTTGGGGGAAAGCCTATGACTTTGGTTCAAGCATACCTTCTCAGAGTAGCTCCCCAGGAGCAGAACAGGGAGGATGAAACCAGACGCTGGAACTGGTGAAACTCAGCCAGGACATGGAGACAAATAGGGTCACACTGATGAGGCCAGGACAGCTCAGCCCGTACCAGCCATCCATGTGGCCCATTTCTTTTTCTATCGGTAATTTTTTGTGCAGGTGATAGAAGGGGAGGCAGTGGGAGGCGTGTGCCATTACCTCTAGCTGTGAGTCCCTGGTTGGGAGGCAGAGAACAGCCCCACTGGAGAAACAAGTTTGCCCTGGAAGCAGGAGGCACCGGCAGGTGGGGAGAAACTGGGGTGTAAAGAGAGAGCAGCAGGGCCGAACCCTGCCTCAGTCCCCTGCCTCTCGTGGCCTCAATCTGCTCATCTGTAAAGTGGGAGCCTTAGTTCTGACTTCAGAGCGCTGCCGGCAACAAACGCGATGAAGGTGAAAAGTGCATTGTAAACTGTAAAGGACTCAACACGCTACAGTAATAACGGCGGGTAACGTTGGCCTGTGCTACCAAGCGTGCTTTCCATGGTGCTCAGACGATAATGCTCCCTGGGATGCAGACAGGGACTTCTGATGTAAAGGGACTTGGCAGATGGGGTGGAGTCTCCTGAGGGCGAGTTGGGCCTGGAGTACCCGGTTAGGCTCCAGCAGCCATCCCTCACAAGGGTCTTCCTTAGAGAGAAGCAGGATGTCACAGGGAGCCATTAGGAGGTGTGGCAACACAAGTTAGACATTGAATGGCTCAGGCAAGGGGCCACGAGCCAGGGAATGTGGGTGGCCTCCACAGACTGCAAAAATTCTCTTCCTGGTGCTCCCAGGAAAAAAAAAAAAAAAAAAAAAAAAAAAAACGCAGTCCCATGGACACATTTGAGACTTCTGGCCTCCAGACTATCAGGACTAAATCTGTGTTGTTAGAAGCCCCTAAATTACTGGGAACCTGTTCCAGCAGCAGGAGACCACACAGAGAGGCGTCATCCCTAGCGTCAGGCTTGTGTGGACTCAGGTCCTGGTACCACCACTTGCTTCATCCAGGAAATGGAGATGATGATGACAGCACGCCTGCCTCAGGGGCTAGGGGAGGGGTTAAGTGCGCTGGCAATACGCCCTCAGCCCCTACGGACAGTTATTAGTAGCCTACCCGTTAATCCCCGCCAAGGCTGCATGCGGCCAGTGCTGTTGTGATTATCTCCATGTCATAAAGGAGGAGACCTAACAGGGTTAAGGACATGGGGCTGCACCGGCTACAGGTGGCAGCGCCCGAGTCTAACCCGGGCCTGGGAGTTCGAGGCCATGCTTACCACACAGCTGGCTGTGCCGGATCACGGCGCCTCCTCGGATGCCAGCTGCTTAGGCAGGGGCACCAGAGCCAAACGGAGCCCAGAGCTCCTTGCACAGGCCAAGACTGGAAACCAAATAAATCTGTGTATATTAGGGAAGCAGAAACTCCAGCTGCCCTGGCGATGAGGATCTAAGAGGTGACCGACCCTCCGCCATCCCACCCCGGGGCTGGCAGTCCCCATGCAGCAAATCATGGAAGTCTGAACACTGGGTTAAGTCATCTCGGTCCTAGAATAATTGCTATTATCGTAAATGTTTTATAGCCCTCATTACAGCTCACATTTAAATATCAGTGTAGTAATACGTTAATAAGTCATCGCTGCCGGACCGCTGCCGGATGCAGTTAGCCGAAGCCCTGTGTGTAACTGCACGTCTGTTCAGCTAAATTAGAGCTGGCCGTGAACTCAGCGGTGCTGGGCGGCTGGGCCTGGCCAGAAGGAAGCCGCTTCTCTGCCAAGGCGTCTTGCTTTTGCCTCTGAGAGCTCGGGGGATGCTCAGGCTGTAGCTAGTGGTAGAGCTGGAACTCTGGGATAAATAGAAGGAGAACGAAGCTGCCATGTAAGGCATTTCTAACCGGATGGAGAGGGTTGGAGGGCATAGATCCCACCCCCAGGAGACTCCCTGCAGAAGCCAGAGCTCCGGTCAGATGGGAGTGGCAGGGTCTTCAGCCCTGTCTGATGAGATGCTCTGAAGGCTTCCTGAGAGGGTGGTGATGGGATGGACTCGCACACTCGCTCACGGAAAAGATAAGCCACGTGAAACACGCAGCCCTGTGGGTTCGACTTCATAAAAGGCAGTGTCTGCACTGGCACGTTGATAGAGGTGCAGAGTGGGCCGAGCAGGTCCGTTCATTCCTGTTGACCACGTGATGCGCCCAAAATAACGCCAGACACACGATAGGTACATAATAAATGTGAGAGAGAGGGGAGCAAAAGTATGAGGTTCTGTGTCTTTGTGTAAACAGACTCCCCCCTGGCCTTATTGGCCAAACCAATGCCAAGAATGAAGGGGGCGGGGGTGGAGAGCTCAGTCACCGGGGACTGGGAAAGGGATCTGTGCAGGGCCCCTTGGGTGGGGCGGGTATGGGGACTGCTGTGTGCTGAACCAAGTGGCAGGAGCACCAGAGGGGATGGAGGTGGAAGGAATGACCAGGCAGGACCAGATTCTCTCCTCTAAGGTCTGCTGAGGAAGACCTGTGGGTAAGAGATGCTGATCATCTGCCCAAGACCACACAACTAGGGTGTATAAGATGCAGTTAGAGCCATGAGTGGATCGGGGCATGGGGCAGAAGTAATGCACATGAGGAAAAATGTTAGAGGGCATTTGAGAGGAAGATACTGTGCTCACCAAGAGCCCAAGGCCAAAAGCACCTGGCGATCCTGCCACAGAACATTTTGCAGACAGTGCCATGGCCGTGCTGTCCCTGGGCCTCCATGACAAGCTCCGGTAGAAGGGTGGGCCCGGCTGTCTGTGCCTGCGGCCCGATTGCAGCCTTATTTCATGCTGACCCATCTATGGAGCCCACATCTCTTTCCTGTCACTTACAAAGAACCCAGTCAGTGCTAATGTCCTGTTGTTGGAGTGCCCAGCCACGGCACAGACACGCACAGGAAGAGGAGACCTAGCCCCTGGCTCTCAGACTCACTGGTGATGGATAAGAGGAGCTTGAGGAGTCAGGATAGCCTTGCCACGTGGCATCCTTTGAAGCAGTGGGTGCAGGGGCAGCGCCAGGGGTCTGCAGCAAGATGGCACTGGGTTCAAAGCCCATCTCCAGAGCTTCGCAGCCGGGATCCCTGGGAAAGCCGTCCTGCCTCTCCGTAGCTCAGCCTCCTCGTCTCTCACACGAGAGGCATGCCTCCCCTGAGGGCTGTGTGTTGCTAGCTGGCTTGGTAGGTGTGGGGATGAGAGCTATTGTCAAGGGGCACTCAGCATCCCGTAGAGTTTAAGGAAGCAATACTATTGGTCCAGGTGGGCCAGGCAGGACTGAGTGGCAGCAGAGGGGAGGAGGGGTCTCGGATTCCCTAACCATCGGGAGAGCCGTCCGTCTATTTCCGGCTGCCCCAGCTACTGCCCCGTGGCTAGGGACCCTTGGTTGCTCTTGCAGTCACATCCTTCCCTCCCTGCCTTCATGAGCATCTCAGTGCCCCTCAGGCTGCCCCTGCTGACCATGTCCCTTTTCCTCCATCTCCGCAGCACCCTCAACAACAACAACATTAGCCGCATCCTGGTCACCAGCTTCAACCACATGCCGAAGATCCGAACCCTGTGAGTAAAGCTCCCTGCTCTCCTCCCCCTCTGCCCCTACACCTCCTCCCCACCCCTTCCTCGCTCCCCATCACGCCCAGCCCACCATGCAGCAAGGTAAGACCTACCATGAGACCTTCCGTCCTAGGACCCGCCAGCGGGTTTTCCTGTCCGGATACTGCCTCCTCTGCCGTTGACTGAGGAGGTGTTGGTGAGCGAGGGCACACGGGGGAGGATCAGGGTGCCATCCAGGGTCTGAACCACCCTTCTGCAGCAGGCACACCCTGCTGGCCTTTCTAAGAGGTTTATACCCATCCTTTTCTTGCTGGGGGGTCTCAGGGGTCAGCTGTAGGGGAGAGCCAGCCCCCACGAGCTCTCAGCCGAATACATTTAGGGCCAAGGCACAGGGCCAGGCTTCCTGAAGCCCGGGGGGTGACAAACCTCACAATAACCGTGGACACTCAACCAGTACCAGCTGTTATGAAGAAGAAGAATCTGGGTCCAGATTCCATCATTGTTCCCAGGTCCTTCCTTTGAGCCCTCGTATGATAACATAATTCAGCCAAGAAAGTCCATCCCTTCCCCACCCACCCCACCCCCCATCCCCGGGCTTTTAAAATGGAACAGTGCACTGACGGGGTTTGAAGGAGAACCCATTGGGTCTTCAAAGATCTTTTCAAAGCCCCCATCAGATCACCACCAGGCTGGAGAAGGGTGTGGCCGGGGCTGTGTCTCAGGGAGCTGGGCCTGTGTCCCCAGGCGAGCAGGTTGACCAGGAGAAATAAGGCTTTTCCCCGCAGAAATCAGCAGCCGGCTCCTGGGGCTGCTCCCCTGAGACCTCTGCTTCCCCGCTGTTACCTTCGGTTTAGGAGCAGCAGTAGCGGAGGATGGGCTGGGTCCATAGGACCCCGAGGTGGGGGAAGGGGGGGGTTGAGGGGGAGACAGGGGGTGGTGGGTCTGGAGCTCGGATGCTTTGTTTGGGGGTATGGGGTCTGGGAAGAGTTTATTCTCCTTGTTTCTGTTGTCATCCTTCCCTGTGGTCCCGAGCACTCCTCTGATGGGTTCAAATCAATCAATCAGTCTCGTCTGCTCCCTTTGCTCCCTGCCTTGTGCCATTCTCTCTTGAGTTTAATTTCAGAGATGGCTCTGGAGAGCTCCCTGGAGACTCGAGCTGACTAATCCCCTTCCCTGTGATTAAGGGGGTGGGCGGGTGGGCTGGTGCTGGAGAAGGGGGGGAGGGGAGAGAGGAAGGAAGTCGTAAATGGGATTTCTAAAGGAAAGCTTTTATATTGGATTCAGAAAGCCACATTTTATAGAAAATGAACACTGGGTCTCTAAAAGGATTTGCTGGAAATTTAATTTAGCGTCTGTGGCTAAAAGGCACCTATTACAAATTGGCGTTTGTATTCATCCACCTTATCTTCTGTGGAGGTGGCTTTGCCAACCTGGAGTGTAGTGTTTCTGTTAGCAAAGCCCGCGCTACCACATGCAGGAAGCACCCGCCACCTGGATGCCTTGGGCAGGGCCACGGGCTGGGAGAAGGCGTCTGAGGCTCATCTCCTCCCAATAATAATCAGTTCCAACATCAGGATGTGCCAGGCCCAGTGCTGAGCACTCACCAGGAATCATTTCAGTCCTCACAACAACCGCGGGAAGGGGGCGTCGTTAATACCCCCATTTTACAGAGGGTAACACTGAGGCCCAGAGTTAAGTCGCCCCCCAAAGTCACAGTCGGAAAGCACAGAGCCAGTGTTCTATCCGGGCAGTGTGACCTCAGAGCCCATGCGCATCTGTTCAGCAGAAACAGAAGTAGAGGAATAGATTCCAGGTGGGCCAAGGAGGGTGACCAGAGCTTCCACATCACCCTCATAGCCGATCCGAACCACCAAAAGTATTGAAAATCATTAAATCACTTCCTTCTCACTCCAAAGGATGAGAAATATTCCTGGCAGTATTCTCACTTCAGGCTCACATTAGGGGTGATACTACTCAATCTGGTCTCCCAAACATGATATGAAGGGCAGCATGAAAGAGTCTGCCCAGCCGGACGCTCCCAGCATTCCTGGCGGGTAAGAGTGCGGCAGGGGGGAAACTGAGTCCGATGACCGCCCCAGGCTTTTGACAAGAGCCATGACGTGGCTTCCAAGTCATTTTTGGTCACCTCTTCTCCGAGGTGCCCCTTGGGAGAGGAGAGATTCCTACAAAGACGGACAAAGGGACGGGGAGCAGGGTTCAGGGGAGAGGAGGCTGGGGCTGGCCATCAGAAATTCGGGCAGCACCCACCTAATCGAATCTTCCAAAACGGGGGGGTCTGACATTTTGATTATCTCAGAAAGCAATCCGCTCAGCAAGGATCTGACTTACCTAAACCTCCTTTCTGTTCTGGCATTGATCTCTTGCCCTGATTGGAACTGACGGGAATTTGTTCTCACTGATCCACACTCGGTTCAGCATGAACCCTGTGTCCTCTGCTTGCACTCCACGGCCTTTCCTAAGGAAAGCCCAACTCTCACCAACAGGCTCTCTTCTGGCACACAGGACTGGCCCTCAGCCTGTGTGCCACCAGCCTGCCTCCCAGCGGACCACCCCTCCATCATCCCAGGCAGCCTAGACACACTGGTGGGGGGTGGGGGATGGCCATGGAGTCCCCTCTCTCTCCAGCAGCTCGCTGAAGGGTCAAGAGACAGACCACTGTCACTCGTGCTGCTTTCCCCACGAAGTCCCTCTCCTCATGCTCTTTAGGAAAGAGGGACCCTGCAAGCTCACGCCAGGCCCTCTCCGTCCTGGCACACGTGGCCATCTTTGTTGAACAGACAGAGGTCTTCCCTCTTGAACCTGAGGTCCTTCCCCCAACTTCGGACTTTGCTCCCTAACTCCTCCCACCTGTCGCATCTCTTCCTGGAGCGCCTTCAGCAGCATGGGGAGTGGGGGGCGGTGGGAGGGGGTGTCTGAGCTTTAAGCTCAAAAGGAAAAGTTGCTTGCGGCCCATGACCAGGCACTGTGTCTTGGACCTAGGAGCCTATTAAAATGTGTTTGACCTTAATTATTGGCTCTGGAGTCCAAAAAGAAAATTGCAACATCAACAAGTAATCATTTTAAAATAAAACTATTTAAAAATTTTTCAACAGGAAAAAAATGGCATTCTATGTGGGAATTGCATTCATTTATTCCATCTGATATGAGGAGATGAGGGCCCCCTAAGGCTCCAAGGCTCCCAGTGGACTTGGCCGGCCAGAGTTCACGTCCATGGGCGGCACAAGTGAGCTGCCGTTGACCAACAGTTAGCAATGTTGACCTTGCACTAGTGGAGGGCGGTCAAGAGCCCTTCAGCTCTCTCCACTCCAGGCGTGGAGGTGGCCTGGCCCTGCTCCTGCCGGCACTCAGTATCACTGGCTGGACACCGAGTGGAATCCCCCGACACTGCCAGCTGATTAGCACGCCGGGGCTGGGTGTTTGAAATTTACATCAGAAAGCCCCGTGTAGGATAAGCTGATGTGACTTAAACTACTACCACCACTCCCGATGACCTGGGCTGTAGGAACATCAGCTTAGAAAGCCCTGAGAGAGAAACCTAGGGGAAGGATGTTTAGAAGCCCTTGCACATCCTGAGTTTGCCCCCAGTTAGTGGAAAGGAAATCCGGGCCATTTAACCAGATGGGAGTCTCCTGGAAACGGGTCCTGCAGGCGACTCTTTGGTATCTTACTCACTTAAGGAGAAATTGATCTGGAATCATAGCTACTAGAGGGAGAAGCCAGAGTCCTGAGACTGGGTAGGGGGTCTTCTCAGAGGTCTGGTGGGGACAGCCCCCTATTGGGATAGGAGGGTGGAGAGGACACACCTTCTCCGGGCCCTGCTCAGCCTAATGGGGCACCAGCGGTGTTGGCTTGGGGCTCACGGGGTTACAAGAGGGGGTCATTTAAGGGACGCTATGGGAGAGAAAGAAGGGCTGGAAGCACCTCCGATCTCAGCCCAGCGCCTCCATAGACTGTGGCACAGATGAGAAGCTGTTTCAGGCCTTCCCTAACGGGAGTGCACAGGAGGCAGCTGATCGATGTTTCTCTCTCATCGATGTTTCTAACTCTCTATCCCTCTCCCTTCCTCTCTGTAAAAAAATCAATAAAATATATATATATTTTTTAAAAAAAAAAAAAAAAAAAAAAAAGGAAAAAGAAACGGTGAGTTGCTCAGAACCCAGGGGGCATCCGTGGGTTGGGGCCTGCACTTGGCGATGATTGTAGTCTGTGATTCAGCAGCATTAGGGTTGAGGCTCCTGTAGTGACTCAGTTGTGCAAAGGGGCATGCTCTGGGGGCTGCTGGGGCTATCACACTGGAGAAAGGTTTGGCCCTCCGTTCAGCCTGTGACAGCGCCTTCCCTCTGTCCCTTCCTCCCCCAGGCGCCTCCACTCCAACCACTTGCACTGCGACTGCCACCTGGCCTGGCTCTCGGATTGGCTGCGACAGCGGCGGACGGTCGGCCAGTTCACACTCTGCATGGCGCCCGTGCACCTGAGGGGCTTCAACGTGGCAGACGTGCAGAAGAAGGAGTACGCGTGCCCAGGTGAGGCCGCCCCACCCGCAGGCTCTCCCTGACCCTGGCCTTGGACATCCTGCCCCTCCCTCTGCCCGAGGGGTCCCAAGAAAGACGGTTTTTTTCCTTCATTTGTTGAAGGAAAAGCCTCAAAGAGCTCATGCGTCACTTTCTGTGAAGCCAGATCGTCCACCTGTGCTAAGAAACCTCACACTTGTTAGGCGCGGCAGTATTTGCTGAACTGGTTCCCGGCATCCGGTCGCTCATCGGAATTGGGAGACAGGCCCACGGAGGCTTCGAGTCAGCCTGTGTGGCTGGGAATCCCAGCTCTGCCTCTTACTAGGGTGTGATTTGGGCAGGTTACCCAGCGTGTCTGTAAAATGGAAGTCATAATAGTACATAACTCAAGGGATGCCTGGGAGGACTGAATGCAACAATGCATAGAAAGCCCTGAGCATCTTACACGGTGCTAGGTAAGAGCTAATAAGCGGAGCTTAATTATGATAGTGCAGTGGGCCCACGGAATGTGCTGAGCAAATATAACCTGCGGGCATTTGAAGTGTAACAGGAGCACATTGCCGTGTAGTGCAGAAAACAGACCGTGCACACAGGTAACTGAAGCGGCGCTGATCTCCCAGGATGGGAGGCACCTGAGAGATGCAGGAGGCTGGAGTAGCTTTTCAGCCTAGCCCTAAATGTGCTTGCTTGTTCAATTTTTAATTTTCGTTAGCATCCTCTAGTTCTACCAACTCTCCCTTTTCTAGTGGCAAAAGAAAAAAAAAAATAGAGCTAATCCCTTTATTTTTGGGGGGAAAAAAAAAAGAGAATTCTCCCAGAGGCATTCTTGAAACCCAGGAGCCCAGTCATGGAGCTGGGGGCCCAGCAGCCTCCTGAGGCTGATCTTGGGGAGTCTACGTGCAGGAACAGCGGGGGGATGTGGCACTGTGGCGCTGTCCTCTCACCCGCCTGGACTGCCACCATGTTCCGTGTGGAAGGGGTTGGGCCGCAGTTTGCTGACCACGGCCCGGTGTGACCAGGGCGCAGGCTGGCACTTGGGCCCGTAGGCATGATTGCAGTCCAGTGAGAATTTTCCATGAATTCAGGCGCATCGCGCTCTCTTGTTCCTGTCATGTCACTACTCCATCAGGTCCATTATCCAAAAACACTCGAACGTAACTCAGAGCAGCACCTCAATAATTTCCTATAGACGCCCACTCAGAAATCACTTCCCATCAGACACACTTAATACAGCCGTTTATCACACGAGCACCAAAACTCAAATGTAGTGACTGTAATTACAGTAATTATTAGGCAGAGGAGACAATATCAGCGTAAGTGCCAGTGAAAGAAATAATTACAGAGTGCGCAGGAGTCATCCAAGAGCTAATGAGGAAAACTAATTAGAGAGAATGTTAAAACACACCAGGACAGGTGGTGCCAAGTTTAACGCTGCGCAGATCGCGAACGCGCTTCATCACGGAGGCATCTCCCCGACCGAGGAGTGGCAGTAGCCAGGATCCAGAGCCCAGGGGGGCAGACTGACCCTTGTGGGTCCTGAACCTGTCAGCACCCCAAATCCCCCTCCTGTGAAACGGCTCCATCGCCCAGGCAGGGTAATGGGTATGTAGGAACATCCTTGTCACCTCCCCTGTTTATAGCAATGAGGCCCATGTGGTGGTCCCTGCAGCTTCTTAGCGCAAAGCTAGGCATTTTGAGGACATGAGAATGTAGTCCACAGATTCCAGACATGGACATGCTATTGATCTCCACCCTCTCACCATGGTTTGAGTTTAGGGGAGCACCATACTGGGGCCCCAATCCATGGGGGATTCTTTAGGTGTTTCCCAGGCTCTCGGGGATGGAAGAGAGAATGCTGTGCAGGTTCTCTCTGGGAAGGATGAAGGCGGACTTCATGGTCTGGGGGAGCTGGTGTATTGAACATCCATGATGAATGAACCAGCCCCATTATTAGTGGGGTGCTGGACGATCCCCATCTCTAAAACGTGCTACCTCCAGAATAATTGTTCAAGGTCGTTTGGGAGACTGTGATCAAAGGGTTTCAGAGGAAGCAGCAAGGAGCAAGACGAGCTGTGCACAGGAAGGTCACAGAGAGGGCTGTTTTCATGTACTGACCACCCCATACACACACACTGCCGGGGTGCAGGCCCCACTCCATGGCAGAGCCCAGCAAGCCACCGGATGAGGTGGTTTTGTGCAGACCCAATGATTGTTGTCTTAGCTCCTCGTTCAAAGTCTTCCCCCAATAACTTGTGGAAGACTTCAACCATAAAGGGGGACAAGGCCATCTCTTCTTCAAAAGTTGAAGTTATCTGCTCAGGAGAATAGAAAGACTTGGGGCACCAATCAGCCATCCCTGCATGTTGCTCCATCACCTGCACCCATCAGGGCAGCACGGAAAACCTCCAATGGTATCGAAGGCCCTTCAATGGTATTGAAAAATTAATCAAACACAGGACCACAGGGACAGGAAAGGGCTTTCCTCCTGCTGAGTTTCTGATGTTTCCCTCAGAATTAAGTGCACTGCCTGGACCCAGCTCCTGTCCATTCAGCCCTGGCTGCGGGCTCCTTTTCACTCCAGCTAACCCAGAAATCCTCTAGCAGTGCACTTCGACAAAACCTATCTCATTGGTCAACTGTCCCCTTCCAATCCAAGGTATTTACTTTTTCCTCTGGGGAATCAACTGGGAACTTTTTACAGGGGTGAGGGACTCTATCTTATTTTACTTTCTATTCGTGTTTTTTCTGTGATCTACAACTAGACTGCTTGGTTTCCTTCAGCTAATGCCGCAACGATTTCTCCATTAGTTTTCTTGCTCAAGTGCAAGGTTAGGGCACAGGGCGAGGAGAGTCCCCGGTCCCTGCTCCATGGGCCTGGCCAGACTGGGGTGGGTCTGAGTTCACATAACAGCCCAGAGAAAAGGCTCTGCTCTAGCCATCACTCGACTCATGTGATGTGAGTTGCTTCCATTCTTACCTAAGGGACTTTTTAGTGGTTTACACCGTAAGCTTTATCTTCCTTGAGTCCATTTCTTGGTACCTTGATCCGAGAAAGTGTTTACCAGTCCCTCTTTGTAAATCAAGGGGCTTAGTTAAACATCTGACCTCCTGAGACCATGCCTCTTTCCTCTGAACAGCTCCACACTCATCCCATTGTGCCATTTCCCACTCATCTGCCCTCAGCCTTTGAATATGAGATGTCTTTGCAGGAAGATTAATCTTGACTCCTAGTAACGAGGGGCCTCTCAACAAACATATTCTTATTTATTATTAAAAATGAAATAGGTGTATCTCCCTGGAAATAAGAAACTCCTCCCCCCCACCTTTTTTTTATTTTTTATTTTGGGATCAGTTACTAAGTATAAAAATAATTAAGGTAAGCCTGACTGGCCGCCTAGCTCCTTAGGAGGTTTTAATTAAAACCCCATAATTGGACATTGGGAGGATGAGATTATTAGGTTTTATAGCCAGTCCCAAAATTATCATGCCTCTGGTATTTAAATCGCATTCATTTATATTCTCATCATAATTGCTCGAGTCCTATTGTCATCACAGCCTGTTGTTGGCTTTTGAAAGGCCAGGGGCCAACAGGGATGCTTAATTTGAATGCTGGAGTTAATTTGTTTCCGCATGCTCACACGGCCATTGGGCTCTTCAGCTCTGTGCGGTCCTCTGGGGGACATTCTCTTTAAAGACAGAAAGAAATAAACACGGCCCCAGCACAGGCGTGCCCAGCCACTGCCTTGCCGCCTCCTCCCCAACCCGAGGCTCCGAGGCTGGGAGGGCCTTCGATCCCAGGGCAGTGAAGAGAGGCGCTGGCTGTCTTTTGGCAGAGGTGACGGTACGAACACATCCTGGGCAGTTTGCCTAACCTCCCTGTTCTTTTGTCTCCTCATCAGTCCAATGGGATAATGATACAGAGCCTCCGTCATGGCTTTTATGAGGATCAAGTGGGATCTTCTATGCGCAGCCCTGAATGCAGTGTCTGGCTTTTAGGAGGATGGTGATAATTTTTAGCATGGGCACCACCGTGTCCTTGGACAGGAACTCTCTCTCTCAGGGCTCCGGCCCCTCACCATCTCCATCGCCCTCCCTAGAGTGAGCTTCAGTGGCCTTTGCCCCATCATCTGGGCAGAGAAGGCAGGGCCTTCACTTGCAGCGTGTTGCTCATCCACATCTGCCAATGAGGAGGACACTGAGGAGGGTGAGGCTGGGCCGGAGCATCTCCCTGGTCATCCCCCTGCCTTTCGGGATTAGAGGGGCGCGGTCAGCAGAGACAGGGTCCTCAGAGCCCCGTCCAGGCTGGCAGCCATGGCGCTCTCGCTGAGAGCTTTGGCTGAAAGCACACTCCCACCCTCCATTACCAAGTGCCTTCCCTTTCCTCCCTGTTTGGCACGAAGGTGGCTTTGGCTCCAAATGAAAATCCCTGAGCTGAAGTGGTGAAGGGGGAAAGGTGGGCCAGGCCCCAGTGGGGAGACAGGTGCTGGCCACGTCCAGGTCCGTTTCCCTGGTCTGGAGGAGATGGCCCCAGCCTCCACGCAGCAGCCTTTAGTGCCATTAGAGAGCTGCAGGGCAGGGCTCGGGCACGTGCTTAAGGAGGCAGGCACACAGTTAAGAGACAGGCACGTGCTGAAGGAGGCGGGCACGCGGTTAAATAGGTGGGCACACAGTTAAGGAGGCAGGTTAAGGAGGCGGGCACCAGATTAGGGAGGCAGGTTAAGGAGGTGGGCACCAGGTTAAGAAGGCAGGTTAAGGAGGCGGGCATGCAGAGCAAGGCACTCCTGAGTTCATAACCAGCGCCTCGGAGCATCGGTGCTGGTTTTGTGTGCTGGTCCATCGCTGGGCTCTGGTTTAAGGGAGAGGAGGAGGTGGTGCTCGTCGACAGGCTTGCCCCATGATTCCTCGGCCCCAGGAACACATGTGCATGTGGCAGGCACATACCCAGATGGTCCCTCACATGAAAGATATGGAAAGGCTCTTCCTATTCCCACGTAAAAGCTCCGTTCCCACTTCTCTCTGCTTCCCAGCTTGCAGTCATAGATTTCGCTGGCTAAAAAGGGAGGGGGTTCCTCACTTTGCCCCCTTGGAATTTACTGCCCCCTCCCCTCCCCCACCACCCCAGCATGCATGGCGGGAAAGGCTAGGAGCGATGGACCTGCTGGCGGAGCGTAGTGCAGAGCCTAGGACTCCCTGACCATGTGCATGAGCCAGGTGCCCAGTGAGCTGGGGGCGGGCAGGTGGCCTTGGCCGGCACTGAGAGCTCTGGTAGAAAGCCTTTGACCTCAGGCACGGGAGTCCCATCTACCAGAGCCCCTCCAGCTCCCGCCTCCGTGGCTGACCCTGTTGACCAGAGCCCAGGGCACTCGGGACTCAGGGGGCCTCCCCCAGGCCCTTCCAGAAGGATCTCTCACCCCCACGTCCTCAGGGCTTCTGGGCCCACTGCATCCATGGATTCATCCTCTCGCTCCCCCAAGGCCTGGTTACTGATACGGCGCTTCCTGCCGAGCCCTGTTTTAGGCACAGGGGTCAAACAGGAAGGAGACAGACACGGCCACTGCCCTGGTAGAGCTGACATCTAGACTCAGTCTGTCCAGAGGCAGCACCAAGGGGAGGGGCTTCTGCCCGCTCCACCCTCGGAGCTCAGATGGGCAGGGCTCGGTCCATCAGGCGCTGACCATCTTCAGCCTGCAGTGTGCTGTCCCTTTCTACAGGAGGCAATGCCCTCCCTGTGTGTGGATGCCCGGCTGGGGTCTGCCAGCCGGGTGCTCTCGGGGCTATAATTAGCTCTCTGAGTAATTAAAGGTGTTGTTGGTGACCTTGTTAAGGATTGTTTTCAAAGGCTTTTTAAAAAGCCTTGACAGCACCCTTTGAAATGCTGCTTATGCTCAGGCTGCCTGCAGGACAGGGCCACCTTACGTAGGACCTTAGGACCGGCTCCTTCCCAGGGGACGAAGGCTGCAGCCTGGTCCGCTTTACACAGAACCGACTTCAACATCAGAGTCTGAGCGGCTTTGAAAAACTCCGTTTCAGAACTTCCAGTGACACAGATGAGCCCTTGATATAATGCCTCCCCACACCCTTTCTTCTGAAACACCCCAACCACGTGATGTTGACAAATAAAAGAGGGACAGCTGTCCGATACCCTCCCCTCACACCTCGGTGGATGGGCAGGAGCTCAGACTGGCCTCTGAGGAGCCTGGCATTTCCCCAACAGGAAGGCCCGGGTGTGGCTGTGGTCCCTGGCGCTTGCCCCTTGGTGTGTAGGGTCAGGCCTGGCAGAGCCCCCCTGCACTGCTGAAGTCCTGACATCTCCGTGGGATGTGGGAGAGGGATAGGAGCCTTCACACGGGGATCCTCTTTACCACCCGCTAAGAAAGGAGCGCAGGGGAGGGGGATGCACTAGGAGGCATCTCACTCCTGCTTCCTGTTTCTGAAGAACAGGAATAGTCAGTCTTTAGCCCAGGAAGGACTTCGGAAGTCTGCAGTGCAAAGCCTCATCCACCAAGATGGTAACAAAAAGCTCAGAGGGTCCTGCAGGCCATCGTTGAAATAGTAATAAAAATAGCAACAACAGCCCTAGCCTGTTTGGCTCAGTGGATAGAGCATTGGCCTGCACACTGAAAGGTCCCAGGTTCGATTCCAGGCAAGGGCATGTACCTTGGTAGTGGGCATTTCCCAAGTAGGAGGTGTGCAAGAGGCATCTGATCGATGTTTCTAACTCTCTATCCCTCTCCCTTCCTCTCTGTAAAAAATGAATAAAATATATATATTTTTTAAAAAATAGCAACATTAACAACGACAAGCATTCCTAAGCGCTGGCTCTGTGCTGTACATTTACATGCATTAACTTCCTTTGCCTTCCCAACAGAACCATGCTACCAAATAAGCATTGCTATTCACCCCCCCCTGTTTCACAGAGGGGGGAAACTGAGGCACGGGAAGGATGAGGTGATAGAAATAGAATTCAAATCGAGGCAATGGGACGGCAGAGCCCACACTCTCAGCCACTCGCCCTCCCCTTCCTGGCCCCAGGCTCGGGCAGGCCGGTTGTCTGGGCTGCTGTTTTCTCAGAAATGTCTAGCCTTTGCCAGGTTGAAGCAAAGCCAGGATCACTCTCTCTAAGAGGATAAATGTTGCAGTTGGGGGCTTAGTGTGAGTCATCATCGCTCTGGTATTTTCCATGGTCTCCACTGGATCCACGAATGTGACACCAGAGTCTGAAGTCCTTGTACCCAAGACAGGAATCTTTTTTTCAAATGTCCAGCTAAGATGGTGCTTTTTGAGAGAGAGAGAGAGAGAGAGAGAGAGAGAGAGAGAGAGAGTGTGTGTGTGTGTAAAGGTGAGGCCCAGGAAAATAAGAGTCTTTGGTTACTGGGCTGGCACCAAGGCATCAAGTTGAATCTCTGCAGAAGGGCCACCCCCAGGTGGGACTAGTGAGCATGGAGGGCGGACCCTCCACTTCAAGTCTCACTCAGTGTCCGAAGGAGGACTTGCCCGAGGCCCAGTCGGTCCTGTGATTCAGCTGCTCTAGCTGGATGGAGGCTAGACTCGCACCGTTCTTCCCTGTGCTTCGTGCCCTGCGCCTGCCCGGCGCGGAGCTCTGCGGCGTCAGTCTGAGTGTGGTTCTGCCCGCGGCCCTTTGCTCTGGGAGGAGAGATGTGGGCAGAGACAGGGTAACCCTGCCGGGCGCAGCAGGCCTGGGACAAGGTCCGGCGGGGCCATTGGGCTGACTCTACCTTTTGGACCTCAGTGTCCACATTTGAAAAGCTAGCCACAGATTTGAGATCCTGGCCTCACTTTGAAGAACTAATCCTATTTGAAAACGTACCTAATGTCTTTCCGAAGCATTCGCGTTCACTTCCTGTGTGGCCACCGCAGGGGGTGACTGAGATTCTCGTGCTGGAATCTGGAGTTAGTTTGTGACGCGTGTATTTATCCACACTCGCCTCTGAGTAAGCGCCTCCGATGCCAGTTTCTTGGATTTTTGCCACTTTCGGTTTAAATTCACTCTAGTTCTCGACATAAGCAAAAATAAGAGCTGATTCCAAAAGACGAGGTAACTTCCTTGCCTTTTTCTAATGTGGTGAGTGCTGTTAGCTCGTTCTCTGGATTTAAACGCTGTTTGAAAGGGCCTTGGATGGTGCTGCTGGCGACTGTGTTGACAGTGGACAACTCCAATGACCCACACGGGGGTGTGCCCCCACCGTCCTTCCTCCCACTGGTTTGGACAGTGACTTCCAGACACTAGAGAAAGGAATGAAGATGTGTCTATACTCAGCATCCACGTCCCAGGTAAACTCCAACGCCCCCCACCGCCATCCCCGGGGTCACCAGACATGGGCACCCTGAGACAGTGATCCCAGGGTCAGCTCGAGGCATATTTCTGTGCCTGGTTGACTCAGAGAGCACTCTCTCTCTCTAAAAGATAGAGTGATGAGCTGACAGAGCAGGTGGAACCATCCAGAAATAGTCAGGTCAAGGGCGGCATCTCTACTCCTAGCTGAATGTGCAGCCAGAGGCAGCAGTGACGGTTCTGTCTGCTGGTGACGGTTCTCCAAGTAGCTTACCATGTAGTGCCACCTCATTGGATAGCTGGCGACAGGGCCCAGGAGCCCATTGGACTCCTGACACGGACATGCGTTGACCACTGTGCTCTGGCCCCACAGGTCCCCACTCGGAGCCGCCATCCTGCAATGCCAACTCCATCTCCTGCCCTTCGGCCTGCACCTGCAGCAATAACATTGTGGACTGCCGGGGGAAGGGCTTGACGGAGATCCCCGCCAACCTGCCAGAGGGCATCGTCGAAATGTAAGTGCCCCGTCTGTCACCCCTGTCTCAGCCAATTCTCCAGGAGTTGGCGGCATTGAGCTGTGGGAGCTGACAGTTAAAAGCACTTAAGGATCTCTCTGCTATCCTATAGGCTTTCCCAGCTGTGCCTGTCAGTGCTCAAGAGCACAGACTAGCCCTCTCTGGTGTGGCTTACTGGTTAGAGCGTCAGCCCCAGGACTGAAGGGTCACAGGTTTGATCCCTGACTCTGATTGGGGCACGTGTGGGAGGCAACATCGCTGTCTTTGTCTCTCTTGTCTCTCCCCGTCCCTTTCACTCTCTCTAAAAATCAGTGTGGGGGAGGTGGGTGTGTGGAAATACCCTCGGGTGAGGATTAACAAACAAACAAAGAAAAGAGCACAGACCAGTTTGGCTCAGTGGCTAAGGGTCCCAGGTTCGATTCCAGTCAAGGGCATGTACCTGGGTTGTGAGCACATCCCCATTAGGAGATGTGCAGGAGGCAACTGATTGATGTTTCTCTCTCATCAGTGTTTCTAACTCTCTATCCCTCTCCCTTCCTCTCTGTAAAAAATCAATAAAATATATTAAATAAAATAAAAAAAGCACAGACTCTAGAGCAGTGAGTGATGGCCCGTAGTAGCCTATCTATTTTTGTAAATGAAGTTTTATTGGAACTCAGCCACGCTCGCTTGTTTACATATTGTGTCTGGCTGTTGGAGGAAGGCAGGAGTGAGCCGTTGGGCCCAGCAGCCTGATATGCCCTGTTTGGTCCTTTGTAGAAGTATGCTTGCCCCACCTGGGTCCCCTGTGATTACCTCCTGGCTCCCCCGGTTACTAAGAGGGGAGAAGAAGAACTTTGGGCAAAAGGATTGCTCTTTCTCATCCTTAGTTTTCTCGTCGGTAGTAACATGACGATGACATAGCCTCATGGTTCGCTGTAAAACTTAGTGGAACGCTTTGTGTGAGCTCTGTATGCAATCTGAGCACGTGGGCAGTGCCCGGACAGTGGTGGTGGGCAGTGTCCGGGTGAGGAGCTGGTGTCACAGCCGCGCCCTTGAGCCCGAGACTGAGTCTTCCGTCATTTCAGATCTGATGGTCGTCCTCTAGAGGGTCTTTACATGGGGACAAGATGGTGCATGTTCGTGTGTGTGCACGGACCTCCCAATTCCCAGTAAAATAGCTTTTCCCACATAGCTCCACCTTGTCCCTCTCCCCCCTGCTGAGGACATGGCCCAAGTCTCATTCTGGATGGAGCAGAGTGGTAGTCAGCATTGAACCCGAGATCATGCTATATGACAATAACTGTTTTCATTTCTGCATTCACCTTTGGGTGACTTTATTAAAAACATGATTAGAGACCTAACCAGTTTGGCTCAGTGGAAGTGTCCCAGGTTTGATTCTGGTCAAGGGCATGTACCTTGGTAGAGGGCACATCCCCACTGGGGGGTATGCAGGAAGCAGCTGATTGATATTTCTCTCCATTGATGTTTCTATAATAGCTCTCTATCCCATTCCCTTCCTCTCTAAAAAATCAATAAAATATATTTTTAAAAGACATGATTAGATGAAACACCTTCAAATAAGAGACACACATTTCTCTCATTTCTCTGTTTCGTCTTCTCCTCCTCCTTTCCTTTCTCCCCTTCCTCCTCCTTCTTCTCCTCATCCTCTCCTCTTTCTCCTCTTCCTGCTCTGCATGCCCTGTGTTCCCAACGATGGCCATTGAATGCATTCCTTTCATGCATTCCTTTAACCAATCTCTATCGTGGGCTCGCTGTGTCCCAGCCGCTGTTCTGCACTTGGGGGGCATCAACAAGTAGATAAAATTTCTGCTCTCACGGGTGCTTGCATTCCAGTGGTGGGGAGAATGTGATAAACAATAAACAAAGCAGAGAAGATTAGATGATACGCTGGAAGGTGGTAGGTTCTATGGGGAAAAGCAAGGAAAGGATTTGAGGTAAATGGGCCCCCAAAAAGTGAATGTGTGGAGGAAGAGTGTTGTGGAGAGAGAGAAGTGAAGGTGCAGAGGCCCCAAGGTAGGGCGTGCATGGTGTACCCAGAAGCCCGTGAGGAGGAATCACAGTGACGCGTGTCGGGGGATGACCCAGGGGGGTAAGAGGGACCAAATCCTGGAGGCGTTTTAAGGACTTTGGTTTCACCCTGATTGACTTATTTCGATACAACCGTGGAGCTTCCGTGTCTTCTTGCTCCGTCTGCTTTGTCACCTTGTCTCTGATTTCCTGTAACACTCTCCTTCCCAGCCCCGGTGGACACATCTGTGCCTCCACACCCTTCGTGTAGTCCACAGCTAGCTAGCAAAGTGTCCTTCTAACCTGATCCCCTCCCCTTCTGAGGCCTTCACCCACCTTCACTCAGCCCTCCGCCTTCCTGTCAGCGAGAATCCTCAACGATTTCCTCACGTTTCACTGTGACTCTCCTTCCTTCGCTCCTCCTGGCCTCCGGTTCTGACCTCGAAAGCCCACTTTCTGTGGATTCCCTTAGATCTCGGCGCCTCTTCTGCTCATACTTCCTGCTCATTCTCTTTATTCCTGTCCTTACCCTCTTCCCCTTCTGCACCTGTTCCCTTCTCTTCTCCCTCCCGTGATTCATTCTCCCCTTCTTTCTCTCTCCCCCCTCCCCCACCATGGTCCTTCCACTTCTCCTCCCAGCCACACTGCTCTCTCCACCCAGCCAATCTCCTCTCCTCTCCATCATGCGAACGTAGGACCCTGGGCCTCCCGAGATGGATGGGTATTCAAGACAGGATTCCTGCCAACAGCCGTGTCATTTTAGATTCCCACGGATCCTTCCCTTCTGCCCCATCTGCCAACTTTTCCTTTGGCAGGCACAGAACCCCCACTTGACCAGGCCTCTCACCACAGCCAATGAGAGGCCAGTCGAGGAGGTCAAGCTGTAGCCGTTGGCCCCCTCTTGCCCCTGACTCAGGAGCTCACAGCCTGCTCCCCTCCTCGCCTGCTCCTTGTCTCTGAGCCTCAGAGGCACACAGCTCAGGTGTGTGAGAGAGAGATTGGAGCCGTCCATGTAGGAGGTGTGACACAGGCAGGCCAGGCCACAGATGGGCTGTTGAGCTGGCACCTGGCGGGGATGTTAACAAGCTAGAGCAGCCGTTTCCAAAAGGCTCCCTGGTTAGTACTGAATCTTATCTTATTTGGGTAAAGTGAGAAAAACAAAACCAATTTGATGTTGTTTTGATTTTTTTTTTTTCTGTTGAGCAAAAATATTCTACTTAAAGGAAGGTCCTTTATTATAAATTCCTGGACTTCCTATTTCTGTTACTGTTGTTATTAAAAAAAAAAAAAAAAAAATACCATAGCCCTAGCTGGTTTGGCTCAGTGGGTAGAGTGTTAGCCTGCGGACTAAAGGGTCCCAGGTTCGATTCCGGTCAAGGGCAAATGCCCGGATTGTGGGCTTGATCTCCAGTGGGGGGGGGCATGGAGGAAGCAGCCAATCAATGATTCTCTCTCATCATTGATGTTTCTGTCTCTCTCTCTCTTTCTCCCTTCTCTGAAATCAATAAAAATATATTTTTTAAATATCCTTTTCTTTATAAAATGATGGCCACTGAAAGCAGAATATGCATGAGTGTGTATGTCTTAAGTGTGCTTAATTATATGTTTAATTATTATATAATTGTAAATGCATGTTTCTATATAAATATATATTATGTCTGACACAGAGAGAAAGAGAAAGAGAGAAGGTGCCTTAATTGGTGAAATAAAAGCTCTTTAACCACTTAGCCTATGAAATCCGAAAGTCTGGGAATGACGAGTCTAGCGAGAGTGTTTCCAAAAATAAGCAACTGTCCAAAAATAAGCAGACAGCAGCCAGGTCCTTAAAAGTGTGGGCCCACACAGCAGGCAAACCCCCACGTTCTATCTGCATCCGTGACTTGTCGCCATTGGCAAGTAACCTTTCTGAGTCTTGGTTTTCTCATCTGGAAAGCAGAGGCTACCGGCACCCTCGTACTGATTCTTGGGGGGGTGAGTGAATGGATGCTGTCACATGCTTAGCATTGGGTCTGGCACCGGAGTCACACTGCCTTAAAAACGACTGCTGTCGCTTTACTACTACAATTGGCACGACTGCTGCTGTGGCCACCACACTTTTATTAGGCATGGGGAGAGGTTAGAAGCCACTATAGGAGCTGGACCTACCTGTACAAGAGGCCCCTCTGTAAAGCTAAGTCAGTGTTTTGGAAGTTAATGGTGAGAGAATAGGTTGGCGAACGAGACTAGCCACTTGCGTGATGCATTGAGCCTGGAGGTGACTCATCTCCACACACATGTATGGGGACTTGCAAATAAGGCTGCCCCTTGCCCCTGGGGCACCCAGGCCCACCAGATTGCCCAGGACTTCCCTTGCTGCATTTGCCTTATTCCCTTCTGTGATGCAATGAAGCTGAGGCATCAGAGTTGGTGAGGCGGGACTCTATGGTCGGTGGGGAGAACTTTAGGGGAGACCTGCTCACTCCTAAAAGCAACAGAGCCGGTGCTCGGGGTCCCGTGTGCGGCTCAAACGTCTTTTAAGCCTCTGAGATTGAGATGCATCGCGTTGGCGGGGAGAGCAGCCCAGCAGGTGGGGGAGGCTGACAGATGAGAAAAAAACGGGAGAGGAGAGTGAAACTACAGGCTGCACCCCAGGACGACTAGGAAGTGTCTGATTTATCCTCCCAAAGTCAGCCGAATGTGACTTCTCCTCCTTCTGCCGCCTCATGCATGCAGCCACCTCCACAGCCATATTTCTCCCTCTCCCTCGGGGAGGCTTGGCACCGAGTCAGACTCTATACTCCCAACTCTTCGTCCTCAGCGGGTGGTGATGCTCCTCACCTCAGAGGGGCTCTGTACCCGCCAACATGTTGGGTTGTGGGGAGCGCTCTCTCGTGCAAGGCCATCTGGCAGCCTCTTTTAGATGCTTTTCCGAGGCAGAGCGGCTCGGAGCTGTGTGTGCTGGTCTCCCCCCCACGGCAGAGCCGGTTCCTCTAAAAATAGCTCTCTTCCTC